TTTTTTTATTACAACACCTAAGCTTCCAAAAGAAAAATACATTCACTATCATTCAACAGCTGTCTTGCCAGAAATATACAAATGATTTAGAAAATCGAAAACCTGTCAGAAACAGCAACATTTTAGGGTCTTGATACAAGAATAAAAATAGTGACTGGAACAACACAAATAACCTGCACATACCAGGAAAACTTATGACGACATTTCGGTCCGACTTGGAACCATTAACTAGTCACACACTAGTTAATGGTCCTCCAGCTTGGACCATTAACTAGTCTCACACTAGTTAATGGTCCTCAAACTTGGAACATTAGTCACACACTTGTTAATGGTCCTCAGACTTGGAACATTAGTCACACACTAGTTATTGGTCCAAGTACTGGACTGAGGAAGCCACTGGCTGGTGAAAGGTTTCCACAATAAAGATACCCATATGTTGCACAAATGTCTCATTCTTTGCCAGAAGTGCACAAACAATTGGGAAAACTGACCTGACACGGCAGATTGTCGTGAATGTGAGGTCGTCGACGCCAGTCTATATCCTCACAGAGTCGTTCATATTCGATCTCTCCATCATCCTGAGTCACACTGAGAAAGGGAGAAAAGTCAAGGTCACCCACGAACAAAAGTTGTTAGTCAGTGATAATCATCTGATGTGGGTTTTAATATGACGACCCGTTCACCAGCCACACGTCACCTTGATTTGAAGACTGTTTCGCCTACGTGTAGACATGCAAGGGCTTAAGTCTGGTTTTGAGGAGGAGGAGGGAAAAGGAAAGAAAAAGAAAGGCGAAAAAGACGCAGAAGTATTAAGCCAGGAAGGTCACTATCCCAGGATAATGAAAGGAGACCAATCATTGTGGCTTACTGCCACTGGGATCTATTTTTATCTCCTACCCCCGGGATGCAACCCACATCAGCCAACTAACTGCCAGGAATATATTTACTGCTAGTTAATTAACATGGGGCGACAGGTGCTAGGAGACTTTCCAAAAAAATTCCACCTCTTTGGGGTGTCCTCCCACGGCCTCTCAATTGTGAGCCCAGCGAACTAACCACTGCTTTGTGTAGCTTATGCAATACTTCACGATTAGTGGATAGAGAATCGAGCTCCAGGACTGTGCGGAACGACCCATACATACTGAATGTTTCAACATGATAATACTGTAATAATAATGGCTTAACAGATCACATTCATGGGGAGCCGCTAGACCAGCGTGGCCAAGCTTAGCAACTTTCCAAAGTTTTCCATATACTACCAGTACACAAGCTTTAATATAAGGTAAGTAGGCAAGTTTCCTTATTATTTTTAGTAATCTATACAGGAGAAGTCGTCGTCTTAAGAAAGGATGGAGGGAGGGGTTAAATGAAGTTTTGTGTGCAAGGGGCTTGGACATACAGCAGGCATGTGTGAGCGTGTTAGATAAGAATGGAGACAAATAGTTTTTGGGACCTAAAGGCAGTTAGAGTGTGAGAAGGTAATACTCTGGGAAGGGATTCAGGAGAAACCAGTTAGATGGACTTGTGTCCTGGAGGTGAAAAGTACAATGTCTGCACCCTAAAGGAGGGGTCTGAGATATTTGCTGATTAAAGTGGCATCTAAACTGTCTTATCTGTGCGCCTCTGTCAAGTCACTGATAGTGTTTACCTGGAATTTACCTGGAGAGAGTTCCGGGGGTCAACGTCCCCGCGGCCCGGTCTGTGACCAGGCCTCCTGGTGGATCAGAGCCTGATCAACCAGGCTGTTACTGCTGGCTGCATGCAATCCAACGTACGAGCCACAGCCCGGTTGGTCAGGTACCGACTTTAGGTGCTTGTCCAGTACCTGCTTGAAGACAGCCAGGGGTCTATTGGTAAACCCCCTTATGTATGTTGGGAGGCAGTTGAACAGTCTCGGGCCCCTGACACTTATTGTATTGTCTCTTAACGTGCTAGTGACACCCCTGCTTTTCATTGGGGGGGATGTTGCATCGTCTGCCGAGTCTTTTGCTTTCGTTGTGAGTGATTTTCGTGTGCAAGTTCGGTACTAGTCCTTCTAGGATTTTCCAGGTGTATATAATCATGTATCTCTCCCGCCTGCGTTTCAGGGAGTACAGGTTCAGGAACTTCAAGCCCTCCCAGTAATTGAGATGTTTTATCTCCGTTATTCTCGCCGTGAAGGTTCTCTGTAGATTTTCTAGGTCAGCAATTTCGTCTGCCTTGAAAGGTGCTGTTAGTGTGCAGCAATATTCCAGCCTAGATAGAACAAGCGACCTGAAGAGTGTCATCATGGGCTTGGCATCCCTAGTTTTGAAGGTTCTCATTATCCATCCTGTCATTTTTCTAGCAGATGAGATTGATACAATGTTATGGTCCTTGAAGGTGAGATCCTCCGACATGATCCCTCCCAGGTCTTTGACGTTGGTTTTTTCTATTTTGTGGAAGGAATTTGTTTTGTACTCTGATGACGTTTTAATTTCCTCATGTTTACCATATCGGAGCAATTGAAATTTCTCATCGTTGAACTTCATATTGTTTTCTGCAGCCCACTGAAAGATTTGGTTGATGTCCGCCTGGAGCCTTGCAGTGTCTGCAATGGAAGACACTGTCATGCAGATTCGGGTGTCATCTGCAAAGGAAGACACGGTGCTGTGGCTGACATCCTTGTCTATGTCAGATATGAGGATGAGAAACAAGATGGGAGCGAGTACTGTGCCTTGTGGAACAGAGCTTTTCACTGTAGCCGCCTCGGACTTTACTCTATTGACTACAACTCTGTGTTCTGTTTGTGAGGAAATTATAGATCCATCTACCAACTTTTCCTGTTATTCCTTTAGCACGCATTTTGTGCGCTATTACACCATGGTCACACTTGTCGAAGGCTTTTGCAAAGTCTGTATATATTACATCTGCATTCTTTTTGTCTTCTCGTACATCTAGGACCTTGTCGTAGTGATCCAGTAGCTGAGACAGACAGGAGCGACCTGCTCTAAATCCATGTTGCCCTGGGTTGTGTAATTGATGGGTATCTAGATGGGTGGCGGTCTTGCTTCTTAGGACCCTTTCAAAGATTATGATATGGGATGTTAGTGCTATCGGTTTTTAGTTCTTTACTATTGCTTTACTGCCCCCTTTGTGGAGTGGGGCTATGTCTGTTGTTTTTAGTAACTGTGGGACGACCCCCGTGTCCATGCTCCCTCTCCATAGGATGGTAAAAGCTCGTGATAGGGGCTTCTTGCAGTTGTTGAACACGGAGTTCCATGAGTCTGGCCCTGGGGCAGAGTACATGGGCATGTCCTTTATCGCCTGTTCGAAGTCATTTGGCGTCAGGATAATATCAGATAGGCTTGTGTTAACCAAATTCTGTGGCTCTCTCATAAAAAATTCATTTTGATCTTCGACTCTCAGTCTGGTTAGCGGCTTGCTAAAAACTGAGTCATACTGGGACTTGAGTAGCTCACTCATTTCCTTGCTGTCATCTGTGTAGGACCCATCTTGTTTAAGTGGGGGCCCAATACTGGATGTTGTTCTCGACTTTGATTTGGCATAAGAAATACTTTGGGTTACTTTCGATTTCATTTATGGCTTTTAGTTCTTCCCGCGATTCTTGACTCCTATAAGATTCCTTTAGCTTAAGTTCGATGTTTGCTATTTCTCTGACCAGTGACTCCCTACGCATTTCAGATATATTGGCCTCTTTTAGCCACTCTGTTATTCTTTTCCGTCGCCTGTAAAGGGAGCGCCTGTCTCTTTATTTTACATCTACTCCTTACATTTTTTTCTCGGGCTACCCCGCCAGCGTGTTAAAAACAAAATAGGTAGGCAAGCTGAGGTGACACTGTACATACTATTTGTAGTTGCAGGGGTCGAGTCACAACTCCTGGCCCTGCCTCTTCTGTGTGCATGCAAAGTGAGAACTTTGGAAAAGTCGATCCAGTCTCACTTAAGTCTGGTCACCCATGAAAGATGGATGAAGAGTTTTGGAGACTGCTGTGAGCACTTGTGCCTCACCTTTTGACAAGTGCATCGATTAGTGTTGTGGTGAGGGGCGGCCGGATAGCCAAGAGTGCCGCCCGCACTGTGTTGGCTGGCAGCCGCCCACGACCCTCTATATCACGACCACGCAGCCCACAGCTCAAGTCCTGTACTCCTGAATAAGGGAGAGAAAGTTGCTGTAAGGTTTTGAAGTTCACTAGAATCAAATGGTCCTTCGGTGCCTTTTACCAGGGATATCCAAACTTCCACCTTGGGACTTTTCTGATAAAAATACACTGAACTTTATCAAAGAAAAGCAAGATTTATCGTATCATTAGCGAGGAAGCTGACAATATTTATCTCACTGTAAAAAAACTTTATCAATATAGTTCATTATGTTATAATATAGTCTTAATTAAGCACAAAAAATATTAAGAAAACGTATACATGGAAGAAGCAAGTATCAAGTCTCGTCAGAGTTGTTAGTTCTCTTTAGACAAGTCTTAATCTTAGATATAACAGCATTCACATGAAAATATTTTAAATTTATCTCAAAGAACCTTCAACCCTGAGTTTTTTCTACGTTGTCACTATTTTATTAAAAAAACGAAGAGGGTAAAAGAATGTCACCTCTTCAAGTTGTGAAAGATTTCATGGAACCTTAAGTTTGTAGATCCCTGCTCTGTACTACACACTGCAGCTGTACGTGCTACTAACGTTCAATACAACACCCACACAAACTACAACGAGTCATCTGTGATTTGGCAATAGCTCAGAAAGGACCGAAACGTCTCAAGGTTCCTCTTTTGAGTGCGGGTTTTTGGCGAGGTAAAACAAGCCAAGCTAAAACTACCTAATTCAACATTTAATAAAATTAATACACTCCTAAAATAACCCATCCACATATGGTGACACTCGTGTAGCTTTGAATGTCACTGACGTTTTGAGTTATCCTAGGTAATTTACACTATGTATGATAATTGTAGTTATGTGTACCTGTGCCAAAACTTACTTACGTCGGCTTTTCCAGAAACCTCTGCTAGACCTGATTTTTTTAAAGTGATTTAACTAAAACATAGAAACCCCAAATTTTCTAACTGCCGAGAATGGTCAATAAGTAACCTTTTTACATTAAAAGATACCGAGACACTGAGGTTTTTACACCATGGTGATGATAAAACTCATGAATAGTTGCAAGACTTGGGAGCACTTGAAATATGTAGAGAAATTGTTCAGAGAGCCGACAAGTTGATAAATTACACACATGTGCAACACTTTGGTATATTATATAAGAACATAAGAGAACATAAGAAAGGAGGAACACTGCAGCAGGCCTGTTGGCCCATACTAGGCAGGTCCTTTACAATTCATATCCAATGCTACCCAAGAAATAAGCTCTGATGTGCAAGTCCCACTCAAATCCAACCCCTCGCCACACAGTGGCTTCATCAGTCCATACAAACAAGAATGGTGAAGAACAGGAGTAGTTTGAGGTAATCAGTTACTCAGCCTGGTGTCTATGTAATTAAAACGGAAATGTTTTTTGGGTTTGCCCAAGCAACAGAAAGCACTGGGAGAAATTTTCACTTATATTAAAAGGCAGAAACATCAAAAAATATCATTTCTGGATAATCTGACAGTCTTATGCGACAGTTGGGAAAGTAGAGAGTAAGGCAGCTGGAGATGTCACCCCTGGTGCTGCCTCGTAAGACAGTACAGTACCTATAAAGATATGGAAATGCAAGCATGCACAAGGTGGAGTGTGTGGACCTGGTATTGAAGAAACAAATAAAGATCTAGACTTACAAGACACAGAAATACAAAACAGAAATACTGCTGGAGACGGAAAAAAAGGGGGAGGATGCTGTGGAGAATGGTGGTGATACATGACCAGGACCAACTGGTGGTGCAGATAGTAAAGGAGTCAGAAAAAAAAACTGGATCAGCAGGGAACCCAGCCACAAAAAATTCTAGCAAACAAATAAAATCTGTGCAAATTCTATGCTTTGGATATCTGTAGGCATGGAATATTTGGGAAAACAGGTGGGACTTGCAATTTTGGTCCAAAAAAATTCCGCAACCTCATGACCAAAGGAGTATGCAATTCTTCTTGTAAATTATTTCACCCTGAAATGTGTTATTCATCAGTCAATGAAAGAATGTTACAACACACACTGTCAGGCACATCATTTATAGGAGACCAGAAGGTACAGATCTAACAGAACTTGGGAAACAAACCCGAGTAATTAAGGGGACCAGAAGGTACACATCAAACAGACCTTGAGAAACAAACGAGGATAATTAAAAAACCACTCCAGAAAAAGATTTTTTAGCGCCAGGAAGAAAATAAAAACTGGCAGGAAATGACAGAAATGCTACACCACCTCGGATCACTTCTGGAGTGGAGGCACAGTCAGTGCCCCCCCCCACTCCAGAACAACAGTGCCAGCAAATAAAGCCCCCCCCCCCTCCCACATACCATCAATACGACATTTGTACTTGCAAATATACAGGGTTTAAAGTCATCAACAAACAAAATACCTTTCATCAGTGGACTCCTCACAAAGTCAAATGTGATGGTTGCAGCTTTCACAGAGACCCACACAAAGAATCACTGACAAAGAAATATGAATCCCAGGGAATAACTTATTCAGCTGCGATAGAAAGAACAGGCAACAAGGGGAGGTTGGCCTGTATGTCACCGAGTCGCTCATTTGCTCAGAATTACTTAACACCACAAATGATATAGCAGAAGTTTTGGTAGTAAAGACTGAAAACCAAAAACCTTGTCACTGTGGTTGTATACAAGCCATCAGATACAACTTCCCAATAATTCAAGGAACAGCTTTTGAAATTGACTACTGTATGGAAAATTTCCCAACCCCGGCCCCAAATATCTTGTTACAGGGTGATTTCAACTTAAGACACCTGATATGGAGAAATATAGCAAATGTTTTATCAGAGATAATCCCAGGAGATAAAAATTCACACACACATGAGCTACTGAATCTCTGCAACAAATTCACCTTAAGCCCGCAAATAGTTGAACCAACAAGACTGGAGAATACACTGGACCTTCACTAATAATGATGATCTGTTACGAAATATAATAGTCTTAAAGACAATACACTCAGTAGGGGTTGCAAGATTCTGTACGAGGCACCAGTACGCTCACACCTTGAGTATGCTCCACTTTCTTGGTTTGCCTGCTTCCCCCCCTCTCATCTTCGACTGCTTGACAAAGTAGAGAACAGAGCAAGACGTCTCATCTCTCGCCTGGACCCATCCTGGATATATCTGTCATTTCAGCAGAGCCTTCAACACAGGAGGGATGTGGGTGGCCTTACTGTTATGTACAAGGCCAATATTGTCAAAGTACCACACTTGGATCCACTTCGAGGACAGCGTGAAATAAGTTTTTATGCCACAAGACGGGCAGAAAGCAGCAACTTCACTCTGGCTGTACCCTTCTCCAGAACATCACTCCATCTGAGATCATACATACCCAGGATGACTCGAGTATGGATCACATTCGTACAGCATAATGATGTCAACGAGATAACGTCAGTTGATCAAATGAAAATGCTGGCACACAGATGGCTCCAACTTCATCCTGTTCCCTACTTGTATGTCTCATAACAATAAAAATGCTTTCAAATGAGCTGATGTAGGTAACAGCTCTTAGCTTGTCAATAAAGTTAGGAATCCTTAACCTGTAAATAGCTTGTCAATAAAACTAGGGATCCTTAATCTTGTCAAACCCTGTGTAAAAAAAAAAAATCATAACATAATAGAAGTACAGACACGTATGCACAGGCAAAATGATATCAGTTATGAGGATGCCTTCACCAAATTCAACTTCAATAACAAAAACATATTGGGATTAAATTAACTATGCACTAAATGAGTCAAGATATCCTAAACAGCACGGATCCAAACCTTTGCCTAGAAAGACTTAACTCTGTGGCACTTGAGGTATGTTCAAGGCACATTCTCCCAAGAAAAAAAAGATGTAAACGAGAGAGATGCTCCCTCTATAGGCAAAGACAAAAAAAATCACACAGCTGCTGAAAGGGGCCAGTATATCTGAGATACGGAAGGAGGCACTGGTCAAAGACATAGAAAACATAGAACTTAAGATTATGAAATTGTACAGGAGCCAAGAAACACTGGAAGAACTTAAAGCCATAAGTGAAATAGAAAAAACAAAAGATTCCTTTTCTTACGCCAAATCTAGGGCAAAAACCATATCCAGTATTGGGGACTTGCACAGATGACAGCAAAGCAATGAATTAGATACTGAAGTACCAATATGACTCGGTATTTTGTGAGCCGTTAATCAGACAACCTACATGATTTTTTTAATGAATGAAACTCCAAATAATATGGTTAATTCAAGAATTTCGGATAAAACCCTAACACCACAGGGCTTCGAAAAAGCATGCACTCTGCCCCAGGCCCAGACTCGTGGAACTCCGTGTTCAAGAACTGCAAAAAACCCTGTGCTTAAATTTTCTATGGAGAGGGAGCATAGACACAGGAGTCATCCCACAGTCACTACATATAGCCCCACTCCACAAAGGTAGTAGTAAAGCAATGGCAGACCGACACCGCTAACATCCCACATCATAAAAATCATCGTAAGGGTTTTAACAAGCAAGATCGTCAACCGCCTAAATACCCATCAATTGCACAACCCAGGGCAGAATGGGTTGAGAGCAGGTTGCTCCTGCCTTTCACAACTACTGGACCACTATGGCAGTCCTGGATGCACTGGAGGACAAACAAAATGCATTTGTATACATAGGCTTTGCAAAAGCCTTCGAAAAGTGCAATCATATCGTAATAGCACACAAAATGTGTGATCAAGGAATAACAGGAAAAGTGGGTACAGTGGAACCCTGAATATCGGCCACTGCATTTATCTGCCGATTCGTATTTAGGCTGGTTTTTTGGCGGAAATTTTGCTCCGTATTTTGGCCGGTGATTGTCTATTAAGTGTGACTGTGAAATAAGCCACCATGGGCCCAAAGAAAGCTCAGAGTGCCAGCCCTTTGGTAAAGAAAGTAAGAAACATGATGGAATTTAAGAAAGAAGTTATTGAAAATATGAGAGTGTTGTTCAAGTGCTAGAACTTGCCAGGATGTATGGGAAACCCAAATCAACAATCACTTC